GGAAAAATGTATTAAAGACGTAATCAAACAGACGATGAAAAGACATAAAGAAATAAATAAAATGCATTAAGAGTGTCACAAAAACGAGCGTAGCCTTTTTTATAGTTGTTGCACAGTGCCCCCCCCCCCCTTGCAAATCTGTTAATTATATTATAGCCTATTATACATTTTAATAAATAAAAAAAATACATTCAAAAAAGACATTCTAATCTTACTGGTTAATGATCGACTAATGAGCTTCGTTTGACGGTCAGGAATATAAAAATGAACAAAATGCTGTCAATCTACAATTCTCCACCATATCAAGTTCAGGTAACTCAAAAACGTGCGTACACGAGCAGAGAGCAGACGCGAGATCTGATCGTAGCCGCCGCTCACCTCCGTATTGATAAATTCCACGTTTTGCGTTGAAACGACCGTACGCCCAATTTTCTGTCGTGCGTTCGTTTCGTAAATGAGGCCCAGTGTCTCTGCATCAGTTTTGATCAAACTGTCTGTGTTTATTTTGTGATAATACCTCCACTATTACGTGGCTACTTAAATATATTTTATATATAAATATATAATATATTTAAGTAGCCTATATAAAATAATTAATATAAAGCAAAAAATTAACTTTAATTGAAAAAACAGAATTAACAGACAGCAAGAGAAAGATTTTGCAATGTGTTTATAGTTGATTTATGACTAAAATGACGTGTGTGATTAAAATGATACAAACAAATAAAAATACATAATTTATCTAAAGTCTTATGTAGCGGCTTCATCGCAATTTTTTATTAATGCAAGGATAGAATACAGAGTTGACATTTAAAAGATGTTTGTACATAATACACACAAAGTATCAACAATACACATTATGTCAATTGAAACAAAGAAGTACAAGTACAAGAAGTAAGAAAAAAGACAAAAACAAAAGAGCTTGAGCTTGACATTTAACCATCAATTAAAGTCATTGCAAAATTCATTAGTTCTACTTGCTTTCTTATTTTCTGACAATGAAATGGTGTTTAGATCATTTCAATTCTTAAAAAAA